CATTGGTCATTACGACCCCCACCAAACACGATTTGGCAGCACTGTAATGACGCCTGCTGGGCGTGAAGTTTTCCCTTCACCATAGGGTTTACACACAAACTGGTCAAAGTTTGAGCCAGGATATACAGGGTGTCCCAAAAAATGTACCTCATTTGAAATGAAGATATCTCAGTGTCTGAGCATACAATGATCCCAAATTTGGTGCCATATGAAAGCTCATTCCATAGCATTTTGTTTGATATAAACTATTTTACTGTACGTTACGTGACAGCCGAGTAATAACGGAAGAGCAAAACCCTTGCAATTTCGCTCTTCAACTATTTCCACGGGTCTTCCTGGGAAAAAAAACTTTCAATTGTTTTGCCGATATTTTCAGCAACTCAGAAGTCAGGCTCCCAGCACCGACGAGAAGTGGTCTGCCTGGAGAGCCGTCTGGGACCCGATACTGGACCGACACATGCCGATCAAGCAGGTCAAGCTGCGCCACAAGATGCAGCCGTGGCTGTATGACGATGCCGTAAGAGAGGCAAGGGAGGAGCTGCAGAGAGCACGCAGAATCAAGGAAGAAACGCCATGTGCTGAGACTGAGCGCGAGTTCCGGCTCCGCCGTAACGCGGTGAAAACCGCCCAGTACAGCGCGTGCTCCAGCTACTTCCTCTCGTCTTTCAGACAGTCGAAGTCTACCACCTGGCAGGACATCCGCCGCTTCTTGGTGATGTCTAAGAAAACTGAGCCTCGGCCCCGCGACACACCCGCAGCTCGACCGGAGAGCTGGTACAGCCGCCTGAACAAGCACTTCGCAACCGTCGGTCCTGCTGTGGCAGAAGCCCTGGCAGAAGAAGATGCTGGAGAGACGCTCAGCCCTAGGCCGCCGCGCGTCTGCAGCGGGGCATTCAGCCCGCGGCCGGCCACGCTGCCGGAGCTATCGGCAGCGCTTCAGAGAATGGGGGCGTCAAAGGCCAGCGGAGCTGACGGCATAACCATCGCGATGCTCCGAATGACTTTTAGTGTTACCGGACCGCACATACTGCATGTTGTGAACAGCTGCATCACGCGCTGTGAGCTGCCACTGGCATGGCAGACCGCTGTAGTTGTTCCTCTGCATAAGGGTGGTGACGTGGATGTGCCGAGCAACTACCGACCTGTGTCAATACTGCCTGTCGTTTCTAAGCTCTGTGAGCGTGTTGTATGCACGCAGCTCACTGATTACCTCGTGAGCCATAACATTCTGTGCCACCAACAGTATGGCTTCCGCCCCGGACTCTCCACGGAGGCGGCCCTGCTCGATGCTGTCACGTTCGCCGTCGATAACGTGGACAATGGACGCGTGACGTCATTGGTGACGGCAGACACATCCAAGGCATTTGACAGCGTCGAGCATGGCCGTCTCCTGGAGAAGCTGGGATGGTATGGGGTGGACGAGCGTTGGTTTCGCGCGTGGCTCTCTGGTCGCTGTCAGACGGTGAAGGGAGGAACAGGCGAGACACTACCGGTGACGCACGGGGTGGTACAGGGGTCGATCCTGGGCCCCGTACTGTTCCTCCTGTTCACCAACGACCTGCCGCAGCACGTGCCGTACGGCAAGCTTGTCATGTACGCCGATGATGTACAGTTCTTGGACACCGACCTGTCGGAGAACTTACCTCTGCTGAAGTGTCGCGTGGAGAACATGCTGTCTGTCGCCTTGCGGTGGTTCACCCAAAATAGGCTTAAGGTCAACCCTACGAAAACCGACATGCTTCTTCTCAAATCAGCTCGAAAAATTGTCACCGGTGACTTCACAGTGAAATTTGGCAGCTCTTCTATTAACTCTGTACGATCGTCCAAGATTCTGGGTGTGACTCTTGACTCGTGTCTGTCGTGGGAGCAGCATGTAACGGCGGTTGTCAAGCGATGCTACTCGATTCTGATTGGTCTCGCGAGAATGCAGCGCCGTATACCTCGAGAGACGAGGCAGCTGCTGGTGGAGACGCTGGTGTTTCCCCACCTGCGGTACTGCAGCTCTGTGTGGGGAAGCTGTTCCGTCACACAGAAACGCAGACTGCAGAAGTGCATCAACTTTGGCGCTCGCGTTGTAACCGGCCTAGGATACCGAGAACATGTCACGGAAACGCTGCGAGAGCTAGGGTGGAAACGGATCGAGCAGATGGTAACTGAGCACGACAGCTGTGTCATGTACCGACTGTTACACGATACCAGGGCCTCGGAGGTGTTACGCACACGGATTACCAGTCGTTCCGATGTAGCTGCACGTGAGACGAGGGCCACTGTCGACGGCCAACTCGAGGTGCCGCGCACGCGCACCGAATTCGCCAGACGGTCGTTCTACGCCCGAGCCGTAAGGGCGTGGAATGAGCTGCCACGATGTGTGAGGAGCTCCGCCACCTACGCTTCTTTCAAGAGGCAGGTGACCGGTGCCGGTTGATCTAGTGATCTCGCTTGAGACCTTGTAGGTATTTTAACCATTTTAAGGATTTTAGTCGGGTACATGTCCTTCTTTTGTGTGATATATTGTAGGAATTATGTTGGGTACTTGTATGACGTGGATAACTGAAAACCCACCCGATGGATGTTTTCCGAAATACATGATTATGATTATGATTATGAAGAAAACAATTAGAAATATTGAAAATAGGTTTCGTTTCATTCATGCATTGCTAACATAACAAGCACACATCGCATCACATCCCAGTTAAAGGTTCAGCCGTGCTAACGCTCAAAGTGCCCTCCCTTTCGCTCGGCACACATGGCGGAGCGTCTTTAGGACTCCGGCTACGCGTGCACATGTTTCAAGCGGGATTTTCCGGATGCATGTCCAGGTCGAGTTCCTCAGCTCGTCCAGAGTTTGAGGATTCTTTGCGTATACCACACTCTTGAGGAACCCCCACAGATAAAAGTCAAGGGGCGATAGGTCTGGGGAGTGTGGCGGCCAGCTAACGTTGGCACGCTGGGATATGATCCGATCACCCATGCGCTCGTTGAGCCAGACCATCGTTGATCTCGGAAGTGTGTGGAGGAGCCCCGTCCTGCTGTAGCCATTGGAGGCTGATGGTGTTCACACACTTTTTGCACACGTGTGGGAGGAGCTTTTTTGTTTGTTTGTTTTGGTGTGGGCCTTTAGTTTCCGCTGTGTTTGCACCACAGAGCCGGTTTGGGGGTAGGATTTTGCAACTTGAATCCTTCCCTCCTTGCTTAGTTGCCCCATTGTGCAAAATGAAAGATGTGGAGCATTAATTGGCATGAAATAGCTTTAAAGGGACCCTCCCACCTTCAAAAAAGTTTATGAATTGACATGAAAGTGATGTCGCTCGGTTCAGAAAGAGCGAAAACGAATATCTACCAAATTTCACCGAGAAATATTCACCGGTTTTCAAGATATTAGACTTTTACTTTTGTTTACTTTTTTTGGGATCTCCGCTGTTTCTAGCGACTTTATTTTAGAAGTGCGGCGTTTGCGGCAGATGTTGCGCGCAAATAGCATATACCACCGCGTGCTACAAAACGTTTTAGTCAAACATTTAAAAATCGTTAGATATCTGCGCTGACGTCACACATTCAGAGGGGTATTCCTAAGCATTAGCCCCTCTGAATCAAAATGCTGCAATTTTGAAATTCAATATTTCCGATTTAAGGCATTTCTCGATGTTGTGAGTGCCGAAACCGGTAATTGTGAGCCAGGGACCCCATTTTGGCTATCTCAACTCAAATCTAATGTTAAGGTGGGAGGGTCCCTTTAATGAAATATATTAAAGCTATCATCACGTGCGTATTTTCTGAGATGTCTTCAGTTGACATGAGACACAATTTAGAATTACTTGTGGCAGTAATTCAAGTGCGAAATTGCAAGGGTTTTGCTCTTTCGTTATCACTCGGCTGTCACGTAACGTACAGTAAAATAGTTTATATCAAACAAAATGCTATGGAATGAGCTTTCATATGGTACCAAATTTAGGATCATTGTATGCTCAGACACTGAGATATCTTAATTTCAAATGAGGTACATTTTTTGGGGACACCCTGTACTAGTCTAAAAATGCAAAAAACGAACAAATTTTGGCATCAATAGATTCAGCATTTCATCGTGTGCCTCAAACCGTCCATCATTTGGCCTCAAAGGAGGTAAAAATTGTTCAAAATCGAAGTTGAAAAGATGCTTTCTGAGCACATAATCTGGTAGCAATCACGTGACCTGCTGTAAGCAGCTCATCGATAATTTACAAACATAATTATTAATATGCTGCTTTAAACAACATTAATCATACATTTTGAGCTTTCAGTACTTTAAATAAGGTCAAAACATCGCAAAACACAAAAGTTAATACAATAGTCACGTGGGTGTCAGGAAATGTCACAGGTGCGTCAAATTTGTGACTGGGGCTTTACTTTCAAACATCGGATCTACCTGTTTCTTATAGGTATCTTGGGTCATTACAGCTGGTCTATGGCAATCAATGCATGAAGTGCACACTTATGTTAAATTTTCTTCATTCTTCATTTCATAACTTTCATAATATGATTGTTTTATTTTCCATTTAACTGAGTAAGTTTAACGTGGCTATGTAGTGAGAATTCTGTGGCCTGTGGCTGACTGGGCAGCCGACGCTAGTCACGGCTCCCAACAGCCATCAAATTGCGGTACCACTTATCTAATCGGCTCCTAGCTCACAAGACCGCGCGAATCTGCCCCATGTTGACCTTGTTTCACGGGCGCACCCAGGCCGGGAGATGGTGGACCACTGCGGAGGCGCCGTAGCCTGTTCGAGAGAATAGATCAAGCCCAGTAGGAGGTAGTTATTTATTCCCAGAGACCACGTAGGGAAGGTGTATTTTGGTGTTACTCAAGGATCGGTATTTTGTCCTTCGATTTTCCTGACCCACACCAGGCACCGCCCGCAATCATTTCACAGCGGTGAGTCAGCCAATGGGCGGCGGCCGTGAACTGGTATGACGTCATGTATGAGTGACGTCACCTGATGCTGGCAGTAGTTGTCTGGTTCTGTGGTCGTGGTCCGTTCGTGTCTGCTCGTGCGGTGCTGTGGAGAGGCGGAAAGAGTGATAGCGGGAGAGGTGGAAAGGATAGACTCATTGGTGTGCCGAGAACTGATAGTGACACGCGGTGGCGTTGAGATAGTGAAATGGTGCAGCGGTTGTGTGATGGCGGCAGTGGCGGAGTTGGTGCCGGCTGGTGATTTGGTGTACGATGTAGCTGCCTGGTAGGCAGATAGATCACCGTTAACCGAATCGGAAGCTGAAGGATTTTCCGTTGAAGTGTCGATCATAGAAGCGACTCACGACAGGTCAGGCAGTTTGTGATCACTCTGGAAGCCTAAGAAGACGAGCTGCAGCTGGGAATACATCAATACAGTCAAGCAGACATATAGGCGATTCGCCAACCTGTGAGTATCTAAACTCATGTCAACTACTGGAAACCTGCTCGTGCCCGACGATCGGGTGAGCGGAGCTTGTAGGTCATCCTTTTCAGTTGTCGCCGCTTAAAATCATGAAGGCCTAACTAAAAATCAAAATAAAATGGAGTAAACAAGAGTAAAAATACGTAAATAATGAATGATAGTACGATTACATGTGATGTACCAAAATTTCCGGCAGCGCGGGTAAAGAACAGGATAAAATATGTAAAATTAAAGAAACGTGCTATAAAAGAAAGAAAAAAGTTAACTTTCCATTTTGGGCCACCCAAAGCCTAACTCAGTGATTGACATGACGTCACTAATCTGTTGTCCCTCGCCTCCGCGCGTCGGTACCGGAAGGCGCCACTCTCGTTCCGGTTTTACCCCTCAGTGGGCATGGGGCTGACTGAGCCAAAACACCCTGTGGCTGCGGTGGTTCGATGGTAGCTTGGTACTTGTTAGACACTGATTGACCAAACCAGACTAGGTTGGGTGCTGACTGCTGAATGATGACTAAACTAAGCTAGTTGCTGCGTGCTGACTGGACTAGACTACCCAGACTAAACCAGCCTAGGCTTTGTGCTGATAAATTAAGACTAGCCAGAATAAACGTGAGCAGATTGGTGTTACACATGTTTCAGAACTGGCTATGGGCGTTGAAGGTTTTGCACTTTTGCACCCTTACTTTTTTCAAGTGATCCTAGAAATTCTGTAATCCGAGCGATCACAAAAGGATGTCGTGTGGCGAATACCCATTCCTGAGATAAGCTGGTAGTTTGTTAATCATTCTATCATTAAAAATCTTTAAAATACCAGCTTCGTTTATATGTTGCGGGAGCTTTCGAAAGACGTTTCCCTTTCTTCTTTAGCCTGTCTAAAAATTCGCTAAAATACACACACAGCCCAAAGGTACAGACTAAATGAAGCAGTTTCCTGAATGAAATGTGTTTTCCGATGGAATGTCTCTATCCAAGATAAAAAATACCATTTATAGCTACATTAGTTTGAATTATCATTTTTCATATCCCCTCATACTTGCTGCAAACTTAAGTCTCTTTTATTGGCTACATTTTCATACAATACCACAAAGGGTCGGGAAAACATATTTTCAGTCCAAAGTTTGTCGTTCATATAAATACAAACAAATATTCCTATTGTCTTGCTTGAACGTGGAAGTGCTTTTCGGTGATGAAGAGAGCTGGTAAAAGTAGCAAAGTGGGCTGACTATCGAGGCAATCTTCCATGACTTTCTAGCTCATGGAGTAAACAACATCCCAATTTACCCGCGCCCTGCGGGGGGGGGGGGTTGATCGCCTCCTGCGGTTTTTCGCGAATATCTTAAAAAAATGGCGGGGCTGAACACCGCCATTTTCGCACTACTTATCATACCTCTTTTAATCACATGTTGTGAAGATTTCAGATCAAGGTCACTCAAGGTCAAGTCACCAGGTCACGTCAAGTGCCCTAACCTCAAAACATTTTTCAATCCCTGCCTTAGCTGCACCGAGTGACTGATCGCTTTGAAACAACTTTCAGCGATTGATAAGGGCAACAGAATACACGAAACTTGTATCTCGGAGTTTGATATCGGTGACCTAAGGTCAGGTCACTTTTACGACCTCTTGGGAGAAAACTGAAAGGCGCCTCTTTTTGACGGACGTCCTTCTAAACACTCTCGAGCACCGAATTACAATTAAAAATGACACACTGAACTAGAGAATGGCTTCCGTTACCCCTCTTTATGTTCCTGAGGTCATCTCAGGTCACGAATGGTATCTAACGTTTTTCGCGAATAACTTTTGATAAAGGCACGCTAGGGCGATTAAAACGCATTAGATGTGTTCAGCTCAACGATACGGATCGACTGATTGCAACATGCTCCTTTCCGGTCAGGTCATGGCCTTGCCCTGAGGTCAAATTCTCAAGTTGATCTTTCAGGGTCAACTTATAGTTAGGTAATACGATGCATCTTGACGAGTGGAACACGATGCCGGTAAAAGTAAGCTCGTCGAACTTAGAGTCAAAAGTTATTGCAGAAAAAACTTTCCGCAACAATCGTCTACGATATTGGCAGTTCTTGCCCCCTGCAGGCAAAACCGTTAACCTTAGGTGAAATCTCTGAGATAATTGTTCAGAAGGAGCGTTAATGGAGCTATCGAATGCACTTTTCCTGGACGCTGCAGTTCTATTGGTTTCCGAGTTATACGCCGGTATGTTGAAAGCTTTCGACATTCCACCTGAAAATAGGCGAAATTTGGCCTTCGATGACGTCTGGTAACATTAGCTTTGTCCTGACCAAAAAAGTATCAAATATTTTCGTCATTGTTTAGACGCTCTTTCGAACGCCGCCTACCCTGTGTCGCTACGTGGCCTAGGAGCCGAGAGAAGGGTTGAGGGCCTGTTGGCACCCCCAGCAGGGCGTGGAAATCTAAGACCCCCATCGGGGCGCGGGGTAATGCGAAAAACAAGTTGTATTATATGTAAATATATATGTCAATGTAACATAATATGTTAAAATATACAATAGTCGTATAAATGTAGGCATATTCAAATGTTCAAGTCTGGGCAAGGCTCATTGAAATAGTCTTGTTTTGTCTTTACTGATCACCGCAAATAAAACTTGGTTGCAAAAGCATCAGCGCAAGAGAAAATGTTAGTCATTCACAACTGGTGTCATCTAACTACACATATGTTGTGCAAGATGTGCAACTTTGTTTATCAAAGCGGAAAAAGCAAAGGAAGTGGCCGTGCGGCCTACATTTAACTTGCCACTGGCGCGGCGGCTCGGTGACTGGTGTGGAACCGCAAAGTTGCATCAGCTCACATTGAAGCACAGAGGACTTTCATTCTTCAGTCGGTGATCGAAGTAGCGATATGTTGGATGTTGTATCAGTATTTGACGTTAGATGAGCATTTAGGCAAGTAGCAGAAGAAAATAGGAAGGCATCACCCAAAGCGGTGCTGATGTCACATTGTGTCAGTGTTAGTGTCAGTGTTAGTGTCAGTGTCAGTGTCAGTGATAGTGTCAGTGTCAGAGTCGTTGTCGGTGTCAGTAGCAGAGCTAGTGTCAGTATCAGTGTCACTAGGAAGGTCGCTTCCCACAGCGCTTGGGTTACGTCAGAGGTTGAAGGCACAGGGTTCTCTCAATCCCAACGGGCCTGCGTTCTCGTGTCTTTATGTATGCAAACTCGATGCTGAATTTATTCAGGGAATGTGAGGTCATGGCGAACAGCTGAGTGTGGTGTCACAACCAGTTACAAGTGTTTCCGTCCGTGAAAATGACAATCTACATCTACATGAAATTCACATTGATAATTTGCTCAGCTTCGTATTGATTTATACCTAACTAGTTGGGTGTGATTCGCAGCATGGTCGGAATCATCCCTAATCATACCTAGAAGGTATACACATAGGCGCTGGAACGGGGAGGGCACCGGGGCACCGTGCCCCCCTTTGATTTTGGCATTTTAACATTAGCCCTATGAACGTTGCATGGAAAGAATGGGACCAAAAGTCGGCAGTGCCCCCCCCCCCCCCTAAATTGAAGGTGTTCCGCCGCCACTGGGTATACATTACATTCGTTTATTGTGTATTATTTACCAGCGTTCCCAAGCTCGAAGATCCCATTCCCGTCAATGCTTTCGATGCAGTCAACGTTCGCAATGCAGTGCACGCTCGAAAAACACAGGTTATTGTGTCTATCAACACGACTGCTGGTCGGATCAGGTTTTCTCACCACATGGCGTCTGGAATCTGTGGACTTTGAACCTGAGACTGGTTTAGAACGTGACGGGAGGCACTCGGGAGGGGGGCGAGGGGGAGCATGTTGACGGGCTCAAATGTGGTTGGGGTCGTGAGGAGAAGGAATGTTAGTCTTTGTAAGCCGTGTAGAAGAAATACAGGTGCCATAGGAGACAGGCTGAGAGAACACTTCAAAAGAGACTTGTGTTTGGAATCCGAGTCCCTTTGTAACAATTGTTACTTATGCTACTTGGGCTTTACATGCAGTGACCCTAAAGTCGCACCATAACATTATAAATAAAATGAATCGAAGTCTGTTATACGCTATGGTCGCAACCAATTGTAAACGTTTAGAATGTGAATTCATGCCATATCTACAGCAGATTATGACAATATAGTTGGACCAACCATTGCTGCACTAAGCGGTCCCGATGATTACGGAGCGAGCGAAGCGAGCGGAGTCTTTCCTTAGATTAACGGAAATTTCTGAGTATGAGCGGCCGGCCGGCCGTGCGGACGCTTTTGCGAGGCTTATATCTCAGCAACCACTTGACCGATTTACATGCGGTAAATTTTGTAGGGTAGCTTCATTCCTTCTACCAAGTATTGGACTATTCCTGATGCATGTGGGTGACCCCTTATGCACGTGCCACGTGCAAAACGAAGAGGTGTCAGTTTTGTAATTGTTGCAATATCTCGGTAACTACTTGGCCGATTGCGCTGAAATTTGGCATGTAGATAGGCACCCACTAGGCACTGCATATCCATGTGCCAGAGTTGGGGTTCTGCTGCACGTGCGCACGTGCAGGGGTCGTTTCCAGATCTCGATAACGGCTGGGCCGATTGTGCTCAAATTTGGCACATCGCTAGAGACCGGTTAGTAGGGTGCCGTGCACAAGTCAGTTGGAGGTACCCCTCGAAATTTCGCACGTGCAAGGCCCACCCTCTCGTTCGCTCCGTTAGTCGCCCCATAAGGCGTTATGCTGGTTTTCATGTCATGTGCTAGGTACTCGTCATGATATCACAAACAGCTCTGCTAACATCCAAACACATTTTACATATCCAGTCACCGATTCCGGTTCGTATTTTCCCCGCAGAAGCTGAGATGGGCCAACGTCAGCGAATCGTGTTTTGGCTCGCCGGACTGGTCAACTTTGGTGTTTCCGCCAGCGTGGGAACGATGGCACCCTTCTTCCCACAGGAGGTAGGTACAGCACGTTCTCAGTACCAGAAGATCCGGTGATAGGTATACAATTGACGATCGACAATTGTTAGGTTACATTCGTGCGTTTTTCGATAGCAGAGATACTATGCAGAGATTTCTATAGCAGTATGTACTTTTTTCGTACGTTTTAGCTACTTCTTTGCAGCATGGTCATTTATTTTTCTTTTTTATTGGTTAAAAGTCCCAATTCTAGCCTTTATTTTAACTTCTCACATGCTAGCATCACATGCTTTCCAGTTTCTATGTACTAACTATAAATGCCAAATACCCTACGAACACTTTTCTTCATATACTACTTTGTAAATGACCTCTCATTGACATACTAGTAAGTAGTATGTTAGGTAAGATATACACTATAAATTACAAACACATGCATACTTTACAAACACTTTTCTTAGCCGAATATTGTACGTACTTCTTGTTACACGGCTGAATTGAGCACTCAGTACCCTTTTGCGCGGATAAATTCTCCCACGTTTTTTTTTCATTTGCAGGCAACGTCTCGGGGAATGTCGGCCACCACCGCTGCGCTGGTGTTCGGCGCCTACCCGCTGTCTGCACTGGTCTGTTCGGCATTCATGACCAAACTGGTAAGTACTGGTAATTGGTAAGGACTGGTAATGGTAAGGACTGGTAAGGACTGGTAAGGACTGGTAATTGTTAATTGTCAGCCCTGGTAATGTTCACGCTGGTGTTCGGCGCCTACCCGCTGTCTGCACTGGTCAGTTCAGCATTCATGACCAGATTGGTAAGGACTGTTGATTACTTCTAGACTTTTGCTGGAGAATTGGTAGGCATTGGTAAATACCGACTACTGCTCTAAGCATTTGTAGCAAATGGCAACGGTTCAAACATTTCGATATGCTCTAGAAGAGAACCTATCGAGCATATCTAAAGCGAACAAGAACCATGTCTAAAATTTCGCTTGTCTAGAACATACTTATCGGAAAATGGCATGTAGCACTGCCTCAACTCTCATAGTGATGTCACGGCACGATGACGTCACCCTGGCTCAGGCCCCACCATGACGTCACAGCACTATGACGTCACACACCTTTCTGTGCCGGCAGGTACCGTTTCTGGGACCGAAGAACGTGTTTGTGGCCGGAACAGTGGCGGTCGGAGTCGGAAACGTATGCTTCGGGTAAGGTAGGCTCCTGAGTGGTTTGTGTTATTGACACTGCCTGAATGGCTCGGACTTGAGAGCATTTTATTTATCGATGCATGAGTAATTCATCTGGAACATAAAAACCGATTGGTATGTTGCTCATTATGATTAATTCCGATGTAATTAGTTCCGGTGTCATCTACTTTTTGAAATATGATGAATTCGCATGAAAGGCTAATGTTGTTTAAGTGTCATATTCACAACGCAAGGATGAGACAAACCGATTGCATTTCGGTTAAGCGTCCTTTGAATGTTTATCAGGGTATTCTTTACCTGTGAACTGAACAAATAAACCTAGTATCGACTGAATTGATTTTAAAACGCTATTTTTATGTCACTTGCCATTTCTATTTCTTACCAATGCTGGTCGGTCGCCGATGACGTTTTGTACCGTTACCGACACAGTCCTTCTAACAGACTATTCTCTCTTGGTTACAGGCTGCTCATCTACGTCCGAGATCTCCAGATGTTCACCGTCTACTGCTTCGTCATCCGGGTGATGATGGGTACAGGATCGGGCGCCAACCTCACCTCCACCTTCACCTATGTGGCCAGCACATTCACAGGTGAGTGACCTCCCCTTCAACAACTTCACATGCGTTGTACAACGTTCAAGGCTAGATTTATCCAATACAAAACCTTAGCCTAATATAGTTTTTTTGTCTTTTTAACAATGCATTAAATCGTAAATGGTATGAGGCATATGCATTCTATTGTTTATATTAGTTTCAATATAATCCTCAAAGCCACGGTTGCTGTTACAGGGTTTATCTCTCAATATCTCGCATCTTGTCCGTCCTGACTGGGTCCGCCTTGATGACTGTTCGTCTGTCTGTCTGGTTTTCAGAGAAGATCTCGCTCACGCTGGGTCTTCTGGAGGTGTTCACCTCACTGGGTCTCTGCGTGGGCCCTGCCCTCGGGGGTCTTCTGTTCGAGGTACGACAGTTCTACGGCTATTCCACCTCAGACCCACCTACAGTAGGTGCTGCCACCTACATATAGTTTCATGTTATCAAATGTTTCATAGATGTCGCTAGGCGTATACGCCTGCAGGTAGACTGTGCCGCCAGACACTGAAGCGAGCACGACGTGGCTAGAAGCTTGGTTTACGCAGTGTGCACTCAGCTAGCAGAAGTGTGATTTGTACCGCACCTATCCGTGCTTCTATCCTCAGGATGCTGAAATCCTTCTCCTCCACGCCACAACCCCCCTCCGGGCTGGACAGGCAACTTTATCTCATGCGGGCTGCTCCCTTGGAGCGGTACCGCTGCTCCCGAGGGAGCGCACCCCGTAGCCGGGTGCAGTGAGTGCCTTGGGGCTGGGTGGCCTGTCCTCTGGACGGGCTTAGCCCCGGCGACTCACTAGGGTGCCTGCCCAGACCAATGTCTCCCCCTAAATCCTATCATCCTTCCGGCTCTGAAATGGTCTTGTCAGACCGAAAGGGCCTAACCCAACAAAACAAACAAACAAATTTGTACCGCGTGCACTCTCAGCTATGAAGGATGCGTGATTTGTGTCGTGATGCCGTGTGTCGTGAAGCGTGATTTGTGCACTCGCAGGCTACTGGCAATGGAAAACGAATTGCGACTTGGGCTAAAGCGGAGGCGGGAACAAGCGTTGTTCTATGCTGTGCTATGGTCCAGATAGATAAAACTCGAGCTTGATTTCGTTATTTTTAAATAATCCTGAGTTTAAATGCGTCACTACGGATGCGATCGAAGCTATTTTTATTCATTCTGCTCTTGTTGACAGGTGGGCGGATACAGCATGCCCTTCTACGCCGTGGGGGCGTTTCTGCTTCTTTTGCTACCCATCAACGCGCTGGCGATGCCCAAAATCGAGGGTAAGATCTCATGGCGAGGCCATAATCACAATGGATGATTGTTGTGAGCGAGCATCGGAGATTGGCATTCATACATTCCTAGCTTCCTATGTGAGCGAACACGCTCGGTCAAAATTCAAATAGTGCTTGAACGGCACGATTTTTTATGGGACAAACCTCATTAACGTTATTGTTGTAAACCTTGTGTAAACTTTTACGTATGCCTACCTCTGTGTCTAAGTGTAGACCTCTAGCCGGAGAGACTCACCCCACACCAGGGTAGAATGTGTGCTGTTGTCACCAATCCTCCCATGTGTCTGTTCTCAGGTCGCTCCAGCCATTCGCTGTCATACGGCCGGGCTCTCATCTACCCTCCCATGTACGTCACACTCGGAGCCGTTGCCATGGTAACCATGGTGTTTGCGTTTTTCGACGCGACAGTTGCACAACATCTTGCCGACAGGGTAAGTCGAGCTGAAGATCTTTTGCCTTGGCTGCTGTACATTTTTTCTTCGAAACAATTAATAATTGTGGTGAAGTTGTCTTGAGATAACCATCACCAGTGTTTGGTTGAGAATGTGCTCTTTCTGCTTCAAGCGGCCAAATAAGGAGTCAAAATCTAACTTCTACAAATATGAAGGTAAATTATTTATAAATGAATTTCACCGCAAAGCTGGTTAAATCGTAGTTTTAAAATGTATTTACATTTTACATATCTTCTGTCTTCTTCTGCAGCCATATCGTTATTTGAAGTAGGTCGTATCAAATTGTCCTCATGATCGCCACACGGCTTAATTTTGACCGCCTTAGCTCCTTCAGCTTAATCAAAATGTCACTCCCAGCGGATGATGTCATCAGCTGGCTCTAAGATCAAAGCCTCGATAAGATACGACAGATCTGTAACGGTATTTACCAGTACTCGTGTGCATTATCACGCTGACGATGGGCGAATATGATGGAATATGATTCCGTCTTTAGCAGTATATCAGACACGATGCGGCTCTTCCGTCAGATGCGAGCAGTCTTATAAAGTAAGTTCATATGTTCATTATTTGATAAACTCCTAATGGAGCCCCGATTGATTTCTGTCAATAACCATACAGTTGCGATCTACAAACAGTGATCACACTGAATCTCTAAGACAGAACTATTGCAACTTGCAGCAAAAGCTACTTAAGAAGACGAAATCTTATTTGATCTCGGTCTAAATCATGTCGGAATCCGTAAGCTCAATTAATTTCTTGACGATAAAATCATGGTCGCCTCTCATCTCTAAGCATCACGCGATAACATGGATAAGTTGGATGATAAATATATGATCACAATGAATTTCGGATCAATGAGCATTGAATGAAATCCCAGATCAATTTCTTATCGAAATGCACTTATCAAAAGGTTTTTTTAAAGCTCGAATTTACCTAAATGTCTGATGGACATATGTTGTTACGAGACGTTCTTTGTCCATCACAAGATTCTCGAGTTTATGCCCACTTAGCGTTATCATGTTCATTTGAGATTCAGCGTTTTTAATCTCCTGAAGAAGTACAATATGTTAACTTCTTTTTTAATCCCCTGCCCGGTTGCCGGAATATATCATGCTAAATCCCAGGTAAAAAAGTATGGACTCTGTCAGTCTGAATCCCTTCAGCACTGAAAAGGAACCGAAGGTTTGTTGTCAATAGTTAAAACACTATTCTTAAGAATTGTGTTTTTCTATTGAAAAACAAATCTGAGTTCCCTGACAATTTGGCAAAAGCTGCCTGAGATCAGTACAACTTATGGGGACGGGCGCATCTTACACCCGAACGTTGACAGATGGAAATAAATATTCAGATAGGGGAGATAGATACAAAGCGAATCCTGTCTAGTTCTACCCAAGATTGTGTAGTTTGCTCACGATACACTGATAGACGCACTCAGTGAAGGGTGGAGCTCAAGATAACAACCGGAACCAATAATACATATATCACTGACCAAGTAGCTGTGGTTGTAGACAAGGTTTGATGGATGACGTCGGTATTTGCTTAGAGTGTATAGAGCTCTGTCGTCCGATACAAGTGACTAGCGAAACTGGCAGCAGATTGTAGCTAGAGGTAATATCCGATACAGCCTGACATAGAGGTGGAAGTTGAAGTTACGCCTGGGTAGCTTCTAGTTAAAATATTTGCAGTAATACTTAGAGTTTTCAGTTGTTAGCATAATTCATCGAGATAGTCTACACTTAAATACACAGTGTTCTTAAATGAGACTGAGAGCCAAGTTTCCTAATAAAATATACGCTTGCTAATTAAAGTTAAATCTGACACTGCACGCTATTTATGACTAGCCTGCACATGAAAAACTAACACATTATGAAGCGGTTTATTTTTCAGTTCCTATCTCAGCAGTTTTCACAAAGGCAATGAAACGTCAAGACGCATTTTAAACACTCCTAAATAGCAAAACAGACACTGCTCTTTAGCGGCAAAATATCACATGCTTTCGTCTCTCCTATGGTGTCAATCGGTGGGGTTGTCTTTAATGCGAATATGTATAAATATGGCGTCGACAATTTGAAGCACGGCGACGCCCACGCAGCAGCATCCTTCGGTGATGAGTTTGGCCGTGTCGTCCTCTCCTCCGGCGGTGCTGTCGCCACTGCTGCTCACGAACAGCTTCATAGCCAGGGCCAGGAACAACGCGCTGCCAATGACGGACATCCCCAGCTCCTGGAAAATCAAACTCGAGTTTAACAAGGGGACATCTCCCGACTATGAACTCTAGCCTAGAGTGACACTGACAACCAGTCTCGAAGATCAATCTTAAGTGCCTTTGGGAAAGGGAAGTGACATGTAAACATTTTGCTACTTGTTTGTGATTTTTGTTTATTAGGAGGGGGGGGGGGGGTCGATATTTGCATTTTGTTGTCACGTACAACGATGTGATCATGAAGCTCTCCAAAAATGATAAAGTTAACAAAAGCTACCCAAACTAGCACATGCCCTGGGTATGTAAATCTCCTTCGATTTGAAAACTTGGACTATTCCCATCAAAAAACGTACGAATTTGGAGAACTGAGTCTTGGTATCGCCGAGGAGGTAGCAAATAACCAGCACGCAGCAATTGAGCAGGTAGCACATGCAGATGCCGGCACCGAAAAAGTACGAGTGCTTGTCTTCAATGCAGTGAACAGCTTGATCTTCAATGGTTGAATCATTTATGTAGGCATTCACGGCACCGCCAAAGCCGGGATGGGAGTGGCCGCCTTGAGCGACGCCGATGGTGATGAAAAGAAGCACCTGAGAAAGAGAGAGCGAGAGAGAGAGAGAGAGAGAGAGAGAGAGAGAGAGAGAGAGAGAGAGAGAGAGAGAGAGGGAGATAGAAAATTGTAACAAGTATGAATTTAAGGACAAAAACACTAAATGAGAGCTGGAGAACATCTTTCCAGTCATCCATCATTTTTCTAGCTTTCTGATGTTTGTCACTCTTGTATCTCATCCAAACGTATCATTTTCCATTGAAAATGCTTTCAATAACAATTTAATATCTCGATTTTAGTTGACACTGTATGATAACGTGTTTATGTTTTCTTTTACACATAAGACTAATTAAACAAAAACAAACAGCTGGCCTTTTGCCATAGCAACACAATGAACATTAAGACAAATTCAGTGAGTCTATAATGAGAAAGGGTAAATTCGAGATGGCAGCCGGCTTGGATGTTGACTCATGACTGGACTCTACTCACTACTTGTCCGATCTTGACCATGGTCGGTATCCGCAATAAGTTTTCTTTCGCGAATCCCATTTTGTCATTTGATTCCGATTACCTCACTGAGCCAGTTTTAAGTTCAAAATATGTTGTTCGAAAGTACGTGTTGGAAAACGGGACGGTTCCAACTTGGTAGAGTCGCGCAATATCTTGCCCAGTTTCACTTCTAGTGTCAATATATTCAAGTAAATGCGTCTTGTAATTGCTGAATAATCCGGAAAGTTTTCAGCTATTCATGCGGGTAGTCCTTGTAAGCACATTTATATTACAGTAGGCACATGAAACACTTCTCAAGCCAAGTTTCTGGCGTCTCTAAAAGCTCACTATCTTGTAGAAACTTCAGTCCTCCACACGCCGAGTAAACAATTGTTTCACAAGTCTGTCTGTGCGTCCGTATTGAGATGAATCAGCAGCGAACTCCACAGCCAATCAAATGATCAGATAACTTGTCAAAGACCAAATGATCACTTGCTTTCTTAGAGTCACCACAAATATTCACTGCTAGTAAACGGTCTCCCACAAGCGTCGATTGACGATTGACTTGACTGATGAGTGACAAGAAATACACCACTGCAGATTGCACCACTAGCTTCAATTCACCTGTGTTATCTGTACGACACCCGAGCACTGTTCGATCGCCGTTTTTTATCAGCTGGTTGCCAGCTTACTTACGTTTCTCGGCTTCTCATTGGTTGAATTCACGTGGTCTGTGCGGTTCACCAATGAGGGGCCGAGAAACGCCAGCGCGGTACTTCCAAATATGGATAGACCGGCAGCATGCTGATAAAAAACCGATATCGAACAGAGCTCAGGTTCCCTCCCCAATCCTCCTGTCACCTGCCCTGACCGACCGTCACCAACTGATAGTCGAAGCGGATTCATTTTGTCATCCGCCATGTCACTGACAACGCTGTAGTCTGTGATATGATAGTGAGCTGATAGTGCAGGTCACTATCAGGGCACGTGCAGGGCAGTGGCTGAGCGACAGACAATGTCACCGAGGTGCAATCCGTTCAGAGTTTATTTAACAACGTTTGTTTTCAGCATTCAAGCGTAACTAGTTGGACAAACGTTTTGGCCCTTGGTTCTTTATCGACCATTGGATTTTGGCAAACCCGAATATTTTGAAGTGTATTGAATTAGCCGTATATGTGCGACGTCGGAATCTTTTGCGGAACACGCAGCACCGGGAGGGTGTTTTTACTTCAACTAACCACCTTAGCTCCATTTTTATTACCTCTGGGCTCTGACTAATTTGTATCAATTACGGCTAACTCGAGAACGCCGGAGATTTGCGTAAAGTAGCTATGGAAAGTCCTTTGCGAGTATTACACACGCATCATAACCGTAAACAGTTATTGAATGATCCGTGATGCGAGGGGGTCATCATACCCCTTTTCCTGCCTCTGACACTGATCCAAATCAACCTTATCTCTCTGCTGTTCGCTGTATCCCCTCCCTCTCTAGCCCCTCCCCATCCATCTGTAATTCTCTCTCTCTCTCTCTCTCTCTCTCTCTCTCTCTCTCTCTCTCTCTCTCTCTCTCTCTCTCTCTCTCTCTCTCTCTCTCTCTCTCTCTCTCTCTCTCTCTCTTACTCACCTCCTCTCTTTGTCCACAGTTCACTCTATCACCACGGCCCATCGGTCTCATTCTGCTTCTGTTCGCCGTTTGCTACGGTCTCTCGTCACCTGTGTTTGGTCGCATCAGTGACGCCCTCGGAAAACATCGACTGATCATGGCTGGTGTTTCGCTGACACTGGGCTCAGTGGCTCTAGTCGCCGTCTCACCGCCGGACCTGCTGAATTTCATACCCAGGTGAGAAACTCAGATGAAAAGGTTAATCGGGGAGGGTGAGAATGAGTAATTAATTTTAAGTTAATGACTCACTTTACACGTTTGCGGTTGTATGTCGTAGAGCCGAAGTGAAATGATGAAACAAAAATATTCGTATGATTTGGAGATCTTTGATGAACATTTCGTGGCACAGGCGAACGTCGTAGATAAATAATTAATAATTATCTATAGTACCAGTCAGCAAGACTGTACTTATTTTAACTCTCGACTTGCAAAAAAGCAAATATAACTGAACTACAACATTCGTCGCAATAATCGTTTTCCGTTGTTAGATTAGTGTATCATACAGCAACGCTCGCTGTCCTCACTCTGCCCTCACTTTGCTCTGACTCTGCCGTTTACCCGCCTCTCTCCATAGTGATGCTCTCTGGGTGACCCTGCTCTCCCTCTGCCTCGTATCAGTCGCCTCAGCAGCCACACTGATTCCAACGTTTGCCGTCTTGTGCGATTTGGTCAAAGGGTGAGTACTAGAGATATCAATCAGATACCAGCTTTTGGGAGATACTTATCCTTACTTATGTATGGGAAACCCTCAATTTGGTAAAAGCTAGTATTTCTTGAATGGTTTTTAGCACAGTTTTGAGAGACATTATGAATATAATAAGAGATATTATTATATTATATTATACTTATATTATTATACTTATACTTATATTATTATACATAACGGTTGATAAAGGCGCAAAGCCGAAAGTTCCCGAACCTGTATTTTGTCTTTTTGAAATTTTATATCTTTTGGCTAATATGAGAGTAAAACTAGTATTTCTATCAATTTCCCTATTTTTTCATATTTGGTACGGAGGGGGCATTTTATCATGATTACGTTGTTTGTATCGGGCATTTTGTCATAGTTCGTATTTGTTTGGTATCAGTTTCCAATTATCTGCGACTGACATAACTAGTGAGCACCATGTGTATTGGGTAGATGCTGATGGGAAATTACCGAATACAAAGTACATCGATTGTTCTGGTCGTCAGATAAGATAATACAGTTACTAAGCGAATGTTACGGATCGACATTATGAGGATGTAATGGTTGCCGCGTTGATTCATACTTCTTTGTTCATTTGTGCTAGTCAGCTATAAAACTTTTTTACCGTTAACCTTGGATAGCAGGGAATCGACGATGTTTTTTTTTTTGTCAGTCATCACCAACTCCCGGAAAATGAGAGATACATTTCAGCCGAGTTACCTAGATAACCTGGCCACGCAATGTTGACTCCAATTTGACCGTTCCCTGCAGACCTCTGGGCTTTCCGGAGGACGTTCAGACCGACGCGCTGGTGTCAGCGGCGTTCCAGACCTTCTTCTACCTCGGGTAAGATGCACCTTTTACCCCGGGTAAGATGCGACTTCTTCCTGTGGTAAGATGCGCCGCAACTTGACGTAGGTCGTAGAGCTCTTCTCGAGAGACCATGCATGGCCATTCCCTTTTTTTATAGAGGTTTCAATTTCTTATCGAAGGGCACGCGTCGACACAATTTGGCCTGAAGCTCCTTGCAACAAAAAACCTAGCGACGTAGAATCGCCAACTTACCTCTGACATTATCTTACAGTAGTCTTTCTTGTTAGATCTACCACTCTAATTAAGTACCTCAACAGCCACCGTGTTTGCATTACCGTAAGGTGGGGCTATTTGAGACAGTGGGGCTATTTGAGACAGTATTTAAAATCGCTATGAAATGAAGAGCGTTTTAAATTTATGCTTAATTTTTGCTGAGGCGATTTACTGCTCGATTCCACACCTTCCTGAGCAAAAATATCACATAAAAATCAAACACTCTTCATTTTATAGCGATATTAAATACTGTCTCAAATAGCCCCACTGTCTCAAATAGCCCCACTTTACGGTACTTTCATTTAGGTATTTGTGTGGCCGGTTTCAGGTGTGTGATCGGCGCTGGAGGCGGTGGCTACCTCGTGGACCACCTCGGCTACAGCAATGCCGTCGGCGTGGTCAGTGCAGTCGTCCTGTTCTGGGTAAGTTGGATCGACAGAAACATCGCTCTCGCAAAGATGCTTCTCAAATCAACCCCTTGGAAGTTACTCTCGTTGACGTAGATGATGTTTTTTATCACGTTTGGTAAGCCAGTTGCAGTATATTTGTAGGTCAAAATGCGTCTAGCTTTGCTGATATCAATATAGGTGACGGAATGGGGGGAGAGGGGGGCACCGGGGCTTACATCTCCATCAAAGCCTGCTGAGTGCTTACCGTCCCCGCTTCTCACCTCCCTCAGGGCCTTCTGACGCTCACCACAGCTGCCGCAATGTCTTGCTGCTCACCATCCAACTCACACCAGCCTCTTCCGATCGACGATAAACTCGCCGTCGATGTCGACACCTCCGTACCGACTGCCAGCGTCGTGATCGACGATCCTGCGCCAGAAGCCCGGGCCAGAGGTCGGCCGGAGAACCTCGACCTTTCGCAATTATCAATCCGGGAGTCCGGGGGATACAAGACTTTCCTGCCGGAGATTGGAAGTCTGAGTCCACCTCCAGAAAGAGCAGAGATGTTACCGGTTGGAGCTGAAGGAGATCGTTCGTCTGAGGAGAGTGAAGCGAACGGAGTTCTGGTGGAAGAGGTACTGAGAAGAGGGGTCAATAGGATAGGATCGAGAGAGAGGCTGGGAGGATCGAGAGAGAGGCTGGGGGAATCGAGGGAGAAGCTGAGGAGATCGAAAGAGAGGATGGGAGGGTCAAGGGAGAGGCTCAGGGGGTCGCGAGAGAGGCTGGGAAGATCGAGAGAGAGGCTGGGAAGGTCAGTAGAGAGGATCAGTGGCTGGCTGTCAACCGGAGGAGAGAGCTCAGGGGAAAGAGGAGGAGGGTCACGGGAGAGAGTGGCTACTTCAGAGGAGAGAGCAGGTGCACAAGAGGAGACTCGTATCGCTGAGATGATCAAGAACGCGGACCTGCATGAGCTACAGGAGCTGCTACGTAGCCCTATGGAGACAAGTCCCGACTTTCCGCCGCCGTGGTGACATCTATCGACGGAAACTGGAACTAATGTTTGTGGCATATGACTGCAGAGTAGTGTATGTGATGTTACGGTGTTATGGCGAGAGGTGGGGGCGAGAAGGAAAAAAAGGAGGGAGAGTGTTCAACTAGTGCATTTTGTGGACTGAGAACTATTGAACTAGCCAGAAGTATCAGACCTTTGAAGGCTGTTATTGATGAGTTCGATATTTAGTAAGGGTCGAGAGTTGAAAATGTTTGAGGCCGACGTTTTTCGAACATCATTCAGCAAGGCTACGTCATTGGAATCGGAGTTGGAGTCACCGGAAATCCATCGACTCCGCAGCGGCCAGCCCGTGATAGTTTGTCGTTTGATGGTCGGTAAAGTTGGATGCTGAAGGATCAACTCAAAGCGAACATTTCCCGTCTATAATAAAGCGAGTTGCATTACGAGAACTGTTCACAGGACCAATACAATTCACACTGTTCTTGAACACTTACAAACTTCCGATTGCAGCTGCGGCCAGATTGAATTGTAGTTTGATTAGTTACAATATATTTACATATAGTTAGTGGGAGGTTGTCATTGTTGTAAGCTGACAATCAAAGGTCAATCACAACCAAATTTGTGGTGAGCCATATGTGAATGTGAGCCATTGAGTCTAAGTGAATATAGTTGTCCTGTGTTTTGAATTTATATAGAGAGCACGAATGCCTCAATGCATGTGCTTGAATGGCTCGAAGCATAGAACTGATGCCGCAGAAAAAGCTGTTGCCATTCTGCCCTCTCAGTAAGTATTTCCTAAGTTGAGTCGTTGACGCCTAAAGCTGCGTACGCTGACATCGAGCGGGAGACGGTCGTAGTCCCGCACGGCGCTGTAACACAGCCGCCGGCGCCCGGCCTCCGTGCGTATCCTCGGTAACATATGTCGGCCGGCGTCACGCGTCCGGTACTGGTGCTACAGTACAGTACAGGTCTCGCGGGTTTTAACGGTAGGTTTTGCACCTATAAAATTTAGTGTACTTCAGTCTATATCTTCGTCGTCTTAAGCTTTTAAGTGTTCAAGATGCGATCGACTTGTTGGTTCACATTTCACAAGCCGGCCATGATCGTGTAAAATGACTTCATCGTAGATCGATTAGTTTCTGAGATATAACCGAAAATGTAAAAGTGCAAAACCTACCGCGAGCCGTACAGTACAGTATATTTACAGGCCATTCCACATGGTGGGTTAATGTTATGCCCTGATAAATGAGACATCAATTAAAAAGAAAAAGGTGACAAAGAAACACGATGGTGCCGTGTGTTTTCCCCTATGGTGTTTGCTGGCACGCACACAATTACTGCAAGCCGAAAATAGCGTCTCGAATGTCCCTTTGACCCGTCAGCCGAACGATCAGCCCGTCACCCAGGGCCCAGCGGAGCGGTCCCATATTTACCGCGGGCGTCTCATGTTTCCACGCAATATAGGCTACACAAGCAGACCCACTACCAAGCGCTGTAACGTTATCTGTCTGTCTGTCTGTCTGTCTGTCTGTCTGTCTGTCTGTCTGTCTGTCTGTCTGTCTGTCTGTCTGTCTGTCTGTCTGTCTATCTCTCTATTCCCTCTTTCATTGTCTCTGATTTTGCCAGTACCTCAACGGTTTACCATCCTCCTTGTTCCTCTTTTTCTCTATATCCCTTCCGATTGACATGGTGACCTGACATCCAGTAACACATGATCTTCATATTGATTTTCAAAAAATTCCGAGATAAAATGTGCGATGGATGACCCGCCACTACGCATAGTAAATATCCGTAGGAATATAAAAACTGTACAGCCCCTTCTCCCTGAGTCCACGGGCAATAGCGTCAAACAAAAACCAAATGTGTAAACTAGCAACTATTTTTAAACTTCGTTATCTTTCACGAAAGAGGCGGACTTTAATGCACATGTGCTCAGCGAGATAATAACTCCAAATGATTTACACGAAAGAAATAAATGGTTGATAAATCGCCAATAATTCTCTTTACTGCTACAAAAAATCTATTTCGGTATCATAGGTAAGTAAAAGGTTTTCAGTGAAGACTTTCCTCTCACCATTGGCCATGATGGCTGGGACACTCACACCATCTCGCCTTGATGAAGCCACAAGCCACGCTACAAAACCGTTCTTTATCCCCCGGTCTTTTCCGACCGTGCCGACTGCCGACATTTCCGACCGTCTTCCGACCGTCCTCCCAGTATATCCAGGCCGGTCTCCATCTCCGCGACTGTTCTATTTTCTGCTAATCCTCTGGTCGGCTGCCGTCGTTATAAACTGCCCCTAACTGACCGTGTCGTGGAGCCGCCGCCCCCATAAGCGGCCATTCTGCGACGGGCCCGGCTAAAGCTCGGTTCATCTGAGGCGATCTGACTCAGGTGGTGGGTGTGGTGGGGACAGTAATGAACTGACCACTGCGGTCAGCGACCGGAGGCGGCAGTTGCACGATCAATACCATCGCTGGAGACTCCAGAAACATCCAACAGGCAACTTAGAAAATTCTTGGACAATGGACATTATACATTAGATTGAAACATTTTTGCTATGTCTCCTGTGTATTTGTTTACATTTCGTTGGAATTGTCTCGATTCCTTCAGTGTATCTTATAACATTTTCAGTTTAAATGTAAAAAATACACGCAACGTTTTCCTCTCTAGTCTCTCTCTCTCTCTCTCTCTCTCTCTCTCTCTCTCTCTCTCTCTCTCTCTCTCTCTCTCTCTCTCTCTCTCTCTCTCTCTCTCTCTCTCTCTCTCTCTCTCTCTCTCTCTCTCTCTCTCTCTCTCTCTGTCTCTCTCTCTCTCTCTCTCTCTCTCTCTCTCTCTCTCTCTCTCTCTCTCTCTATCTCTCTCTCTCTCTCTCTCCTCTCTCTCTCTCTCTCTCTCCCTCTCTCTCTCTCTCTCTCTCTCTCTCTCTCTCTCTCCCCTCCGACCTCGGTCGGTACGTGATCATTCGTAATTTCAATCGAGTAATTACGGATTATTGCCACCAAACCGATCCCTATCATGCTGTTTGGAAGCACAGCACTTCGAGTGCTTTCAACATCATTGAAAATTTCTGTTAAGAACTTTGAAGGTTTCGTAAGATGGCTTCCAAATTTCTGGCAAGTGAGCCTTCGCGGCAACAAACAATCTTTATTGGTGATGAAGTGCACAGAGCGTGAAATCTATTCGGAAAAGGAAACATTCCATCAGCCCCCACGCCACGAACTTCGGACTAAAGCGCGTTAGAATACCACGCATCGGAGCATCAAGCTATATAAATATGCCAGATTTGTCTACCTCACTGCTTTTTCCCCTCCAAACCTCACCATCAGCCTTGCTTCGGATAAGTGTGGTAAACTATTCGCGGCAAGAAACCCAATGATTCTAGGAAAAATTATTCCGCCTCTTCCGGCCATTGCGATCTTCCGCTCATTGCGAACCAAAGAGCGCCAGCCGCCAACGCCCGTCGTTTGCCCTCCCTTCAACCTCATAGTCCCTCATAGTCCATCCGATCTGAAGAGATGGGAACGTTTCCACAAACTACTCGGTCGATTCAGCTGACGTCTATGAGGGCAGCCCGCCTAACCAGCAGACCCCTCGGACTGGGCATTGAACACTGGGACAGTAATATTCCTGGACTGAGATATCGACTACGAAATTGAAACCAGACGGTAGCGTTCGTAGGACAGGGGATTAGGCGCCAGGGGAGTGTAACCTAGCTGGTTTCAGCCGGGCAAATCTGGCTCAGAGGGTAAAGTATCATTTGATCTAGGCGCTGGCTATTAATTGGGTACCGTAAAAGGATAGTAGGGTGTAACCGGACCAGTGCGTGCATTTGAAAGCGCGCTCTGCATTTTTGAACACCCCTCCCTTCCAGTCTCTCGTTTTATGGAAAATATATCAGTCATGCACGGGGTTAACTTATGTGCAGAACACTTCTTCTGTTTCCATTTCATACTTAACACTAAGCAAACAAAGAAAGACTCTTCTATTTCACAACAAGCTTCAGCATCAGCATAGCTGAAGCTCTCAGCTAAGAACAAATGTATGATCAGACAGCTACCAAAACATCACACGAGGTATATTGCTCTCAAATATGCTAATGCGATACACGGTAAGAGCTATAGGTACCCAGCAGTTCCTGTGTTTTCCCCATAGAAAGGCTCGGAAGTGTTTAACTATTCGTCATGCAAGTCTTGGACAAACAGAGCGATGGTCATCCTAATTTGAGCACTACCTGTACCTAGGTACAGGTAGGTGTACCATCTGTGGGTACTGGGTAATTTACATTCGACCCAATGGATAGCCTGAGACGACAGCCTGAGACGAAATGAGACGAAATGCTGTTAAAATAAAAATGCATTTTTAATAATTCTGAGAAGCAGCCACTGAGTTTCAAAGACATCTAGGACCTTTCTTTGATATGTGTCTGGTCTTCACATTTTCAACAAAATATTAACATCCTGCTGCAGAGTTCACTGGTATTTGTATGCTTACAGTTTACATCACCTTTAGACAAAATTTAAGGTGTATTCTCAATCTCATCAATTCATGGAGTATAATTTATAATATAATAATGGAAATTAATTTGAAACAAGAAGCTTGAAACTCGACCAGTGTTTTTCTTGCATGCAATACACCATTAAATCCAATCAATACACTGAGTTGCACCTGGCTGCAGCTCCGCGGCAACCTTTGTTTGTAACTGTCCAACTATTGCGGAAGTGGCGAAATTGGCTAAGTTGCTAGTTTTCCGCTTAAGCTACAGTCGTTTCAGTGGAGTGTTGTGCAGAGTTCTCGAACTCGAAAGCGCTTCTACTGGTGGGAGACCCAGATGTTGGAAGGTCTAAGGGCGATGAAACGGAGGAAACGTTCGGTTTAAGTTTATTGAAAACAAAATATGCATGTTTGTATTATTTTCTAGCTCTACTAATATGGTCTTCTACACCGAAACTCACGTAAAATTTTCGGTACTTAGCCCTTTTTTACCCACCGTCGAAGCTTATTCACTTCTGAACGTTCTCGGGTGTAAATATTAGCCACCAATGAGAGTAATTTTACATTTGAAATAATAATGCATGTCAGTATAAGCTGTGCATGGTCAACATTTAGTAATATCAACTGTTAAATGAAATTGTTATCAGGTTAGTCCTTAAAAGCTGATGGTGTTTAATTTTCACACACTACCTTTTCCACGTCAACCTATTGCTTTTCTCAAATAAGAGAAATTGTTTCTTCTATAATTTTCAGCGAGCTCCATCCGTAGTTTCATCTGCAGCAGCCTTGTGAGCGGTGCGCTACTTCACGAAATATGCCATCCACTCCGGTAAGTGCTGCTGGAGTGATGGCTGTCTAGCATGCAACCATTTTAGCAACAGCCTCCTTCCTCGTTCTTCGGGTACTTGTAACTTTTATGTCCTCATTTCATCGATTTACAAATCGTTTCCATGGAAACGTGAACACGAGAAAACAAGGATTAACTTCTGGTCGAGCCAGTCCGAAATTGTTCTTTTAGAGGGAACAAAACTAAGCGTAATGTATGAAGCCAAACATTCGTTTCGTAGGCGAAATAAAAGATAAATATAAGCGAGCGGGACGCTCCGAAGACACAGGCCGATGTAAGGACGCCAGCAACACATCTGTGCACGGTCACTAATCAGAAAAGGACAGGTCACGTCAACTAAATCAGAGTCGATGCGACCTTGGTTTGACCTTCCCTGTCGGATGTTACAGTACCATATGATACATTATGGCCGTACACGTGTGCTGACGCAATAACCGTGACGCGAAAAATGTCAACTTTAGAATGAATGAGATACAAAAAGATGTAGGTACAATTGTATTAATTGATATGATTTTCTGCACTTGTTATGTTTCTGCCATATGCTGCTTTGGAAGAAATATAATCATCCTAACATTGACTCTAAAAAGCTATCAAAAAAGTGCTCCAGACTTCCCGTCTTTCGCCGTGCAGCCCCAAAACTCGCTCATTAGAATCCTGAAGTCTTGCTGTCTAATTAGACTGAAAAATGAAAATCCCTGAACACGGAGAAAAGGCACGGAAAATTGGGAGAACAGGCGTACAACAGCACTGAATAATAAAAGTCCTGGATGATACGTTTACCTAAAAAAGGCACGGTGGTCCCTTTTTATGAATGTGCGGGTGACGAAAGTTCCCCACATAGACAGCAAAAATGCTTGAACGATGTGGTAGGTATAGAAATGCTAAAAATAACCGTGCTCACTGCTCAATGAAGAAATACACTAATCATGGCTTTCTGGGTCGTGTTATTAGCCTGGCTGTTGCTGGAGTATATACTTCGCCATCCATCTTATGCTCAAGCAAAAATAGCAAAGAAACCAACTTCAAATGAAGCATTCCGAACAACAAAATATAAAAAATATTCAAACACCCCCCTCCCCCAGCACACACTGATCTTTGTAAGTGAACATTGTGTTGAGACTTATTAAGGCCGCCCCACACTGGACCTCGCATGCGAGTTGCGAGTTTTTGGGTTTTCGGGTTTCTTCCAAATTAAATAACACACTCTATGTTGAGTGACCCACACCACCATGTAACAAGCGAGTCTGCATGTTTTTAGCATGTGAGCCAACTTGCATCGCATTCCAAAAGCTGATTTTGAGTCAACTTTCGATTTTCCTTGCTGCGAGGGCAGCGAGTTTTGGTGTGTTTTGTTGAAGTCGATTTTTGGTTCGTTTTGCTGATAGGTATTGCAATAATATGCAATTTTCTGAGGGTCTACCGGCTTCACTGCATTCATGTAGTGACCATAAGAGAATGGTTTAACCCGCGCCCGGCTGGGGGTCCTGGATTTCCACGCCCTGCTGGGGGGGGGGTGTTTGAACACCCCCTTGTAACTCGGCTCCTGGGCCACGTAGCGATACGCGGAAGGCGCCGTTCGAAAGAGCGTCAAAAATAATGACGAAATCACTTCGGTCAATTTTTGGTCAGGTCAAAGGTCAGGTCACCAGAGGTCATTGAAGGCAAAATTTCGCCGATTTCCAGGTCGAATGTCGACAATTTCCAAGAAGCCAACGCATAACTCGTGAACCAATAGAGCTACAGCGCCGCAGAAAGTGCATTCGATAGCCTTATTAACGCCCTTTCTGATTAATTCTCTCAGATTTGACCTAACGTCAACGGTTTTGCCTGCAGGGGGCAAAAACTGCAAAAATAGCCGATTTTTTCGGAAACGGTTTTTTCTGCAATAACTTTTGACCCAAGCCTTGTACGAGTTTACTTTCACAGGCACCGTGTTCCTCTCGTCAAGATGCATCGAATGAACTATAACTTGACCTTGAAAGGTCAACTTGAAAATTTGACCTCAGGTCAAGGTCATGACCTGACCGGAAAGGGTCATGTTGCATATCAGTCGATCCGTATCGTCGAGCTGAACACATATAAGGCGTTTTCATCGCTCTAGCATGCCTCTATCAAAAGTTATTTGCGAAAAACTGTTAGATACCATTCGTGACCTAAGATGACCTCAGGGGACAAACAAGGGCCACGGACACCATTTTCATGTTCAGTGTGTCTAAACCACTTGTAATTCGGTGTTTGGGAGTGTTTATAATGTCTTTCGTCCAAAAGAGGCGCATTTCAATTTTCTCCCATTGACTTATAATGGGGAGGTCGCAATATTGACCTGACCTTAGGTCATCGATATCAAAATTCTGAGATATACATTTTGTACATGCTATTGCTCTTAGCAATCGCTGAAAGTTTCAAAGCGATCGGTCACTCGGTGTAGCTATGACAGACATTAAAACTTTTTATGAGGTGAGGTCACTTCAAGTGACCTGGTGACCTGACCTTGAATGACCTTGGTCTGAAATTTTCACATGTGTAGAATTGATGTATGATAAGGTGTACCAAAAACGGCGGCGCTCCATTCGCGAAAAACCACAAGGGGAGTGTGTTCAAACACCCCCCCCCCCCCCAGCAGGGCGCGGGTTAATCACTCCATGAATGCTTATTATACCCGTGAATCCAAAACCCAAAGACTCGCAACCTGCATGCGAGGTCCAGTGAGGGGCGGCCTTTACAAAGCGGAGTTAGCATGGTCTACTCGAGACACATCTGAATCTACTTGCAATTTGTCTTTTAGTGATGACAATTTGTAGAAAGGAAAACATTCAGCAGTGTGTAGCGCACTATACAACACAGAAAAATAAGCACACTGCAATAACGTTAACTTAACGTTTCACGATAAAATACTAAATAGCGTCTAAGGTTTACAGGTGCTACAGGTAATACAGGTACTAGAGGTACAACATTCAGCAGTGTGTAGCACACTATATAACTCAAAAACATAAGCACACTGCAATAACCTTAATTTAACGTTTCACGATACATAAAATGCTAAATAGCGTCTAAGGGTTACAGGTACTATAAAGTTAAATATATAAATGAATAAGAATGCATGTATGTATGTGTGTGCAATGTGTATGTTCGACTGAGCGGTAGTGCAGGTGCGCATAATTTGTGATTTTCTACAAGTGTCGCCAGTCATCTCTGGTGGAAGCGCCAGGGCAGGTCACCTTGCCGTTATTTGGGGGGGGGGGGGGTTGGGGGTCCCGGAGTCCTCCCCCACGGTCACATGTGGCTCAACCCCCTAACACGTGACCTGCGCATATAAAAAGGGGACCGAACACAACGTTCAGCACACCACAAACATGTATCGTCTCATGTTGGTAAGCTCCCTGTTGGCCGCCGCCTCGGCGACCATCCTAAACGACACTTCTCTGCCTCCACCGGACCCGTTCTATGCCGAGGTCTACAATGAAACCACTTTGCCGCCTCCCGAGCCCTTCGAGGAAGCCATGCTAGCCTCCCTGGACCCTCTTGAGAGGCAGCTACTTACATCGGCCAAGGGCGAAAACGGCGTCGAGCTGTTCGAAGGCGACATCATGTTGTCGGACGAACAGCGCGAGAGCCGCAAGGGCGCCAGCAACCTCTGGCCCGGCTCCATCTACTATGTCATCACCAGCTCTTCGTCCGCGGATCGGAACATCATCCTGAGTGCGATTAACCACTGGCGCTCCCGCAGCTGCCTCCGCTTCTACGAGCGGCCTGAGTCGTACAACAGCGGGCCTCACCTGCGCTTCATCCGTTCCTCAGGATGCTGGTCTTACGTGGGGCGCCAGGAGAGGAACACGGGCCAGTCCATCAGCATCGGGCAAGGCTGCAACACGCTGGGCATCATTGCGCACGAGATCGGCCATGCCATCGGCTTCTGGCACGAACAGTCTCGCAGAGACAGAGACTCCTACATATCAGTCCTTACAGAGAACATCCTCTCGGGAAAAGAGCACAACTTCCGCGTGGAAAACAACGAGAACGCGCTTGGAGTGCCCTACGACCTCAGCTCCCTCATGCACTACGGCGGTTTCAGCTTCTCCAGTAACGGCCAGCCGACAATTGTGACCAACGACGTCCTTCTTGCCGGTAAGATCGGTCAGCGGAATGGTCTATCTCACCGCGATAGGCATCTTGCCAACGAGATGTACCGTTGCAGCGAAAGGTGCGTCTGCATCCCGCGTTGCCGTAACGGGGGTTTTGTGGACCGCAACTGTCGTTGTATATGCCCAGCAGGAACCTCCGGCATGTTCTGCGATCGTCGCTACTACTCCTACTATGGAAGGACGTGCGGAAACCAGCGCATCACCCGTCCAGGGGTGATCAAGTCACGTTACTTCCCTAGCCTGTACCCGCCCAACGAACACTGCATCTGGAAGGTGACGGCTCCGACCGGTAAGCGAGTACGCATCCAGTTCCACACTGCCCGCGTGATCTACCGCTCCGGTGTGCGCTGTCCCTGGGACTGGATTGCCGTGCACACCAACAGCGACTCGAGGCCCGACCGGGTGGCGTGCGGTACTGAGCTGCAGAACACGGCCTTCACCACCACCGGCAACCGTCTGGTCGTCGAGATGCACTCGTTCCGCGAGCGTTACGCGTCACTGCAGACTGGCTTCAATGCGACCATCACCTTCGTCTAGGAAGACAGCTACACCAACCCCGGAGACCCTCGCCTAGATGGACAGCTACCCTACCCCGGAGACCCTCGCCTGGATGGACAGCGACCCTACCCCGGAGACCCTCGCCTGGATGGACAGCGACCCGATACCGCGGACTGGATTCAAAGCAAAGCAGCTATCACTTTCGCCTAGATGGACAGCTACCCCGCCCGACGCCCAAATGGACAGCTACACTACACTCCACTTACCTCGCCACGCCACTGCCACCTTCGTCTAGTCAGATTGACCGGCCTTTAGATGGACATTGGACAGCTACCTCGCCTTGTAGACAGACTTCATGTCACCGTCACCTTAATCTGAACAGAATGGCATCAACGTTCGGCGTCACCTTCGTCTTGCCGATGCTCCTACCAGTGATGCAGCTTCAACGCGGCAGTAGGTGGCAGGCCATGTGGCTTTAGCGTATAATAGTTTAAGGTGTGCTTTTCATCCTGTACTTTTAGGATTTACTATCAGGATTTAGCATTTACTATTAGGGTTTGCTTTACTATCACCTTTAGGTGGCTTGCACCCAAACTTCGTTCCTAGAAGTTAGTACTTGATAAGTGAGTTTCATTTTCTGTTGTGTGTGTGTGCTTATCTTTGGCAATACATTTTCAGTTCGGTCACAATCCCATGTTTGTGAGGGAGCTATATGAAAAAAGAACACTTTGTTCAGCTGTATGATGCCACCTCCATGTGGTACTCTTAGCGAGTTGCACGGCTTACCACGTAACTATTCGGTAATTACTTTTCACTAGCTTCACCCAGTGACTGGGACTTTAGCAAGTACCTATCCTTGCAAGATCTTTAAGTCTTCTGCTTTCCGGTAGGGAAAGGTCGATGACCCGTCATGAAGTAAAAAAAATCGTCAGGGGCACCAGATTGTGACATTTTCAGTTACTCGCACCACAACGCTGGTCGGGGGCCGCACAATGTCATAGCGTCGCAATGAAGCAGTTTCTCTGCCTTGTTTCACAAGTTTACGTTGTAGGGATTTGCCTGGCTTCTAGTGCGAACCAAATTAATACTAGATAAACTGTGTGACTGGATATAACAGACCACGCCCCTGCAAGATATAATTAACCATCGTTTTTAGCCAGAGCCTGCAGTGAAGAACCCTGTATGCTCAGTTAGTCGGACGTTGGACCTCCGGTAGTGCGAGCCCGGGTTCGAGTCCCTCCGGCGCTCGATATTTGAGAGTTGAGACTCCTGACAGAGAATGGTCTGGGATTGGTGGGAGCAGCCGCAGTCAGTTGAAGTCAGTAGAGTGGGAGAGGCCGTGTCCGGCTTTGATGGGCACGTTAAACTTTGACATCCCACACACAGAAAAATATTGACACCGTTAGCGGTGTAATTGCACAGTACATATCTGAGCACTTGAGGAAAGTTAATTTAGTCCCTTCCCCGCTTAAATTAATCGCGCTTCTAAATGAACACCAGGAAGAAGGTAATAGAACACTGTTAGGAGGGTTGGGTGTTTTACTACATGTAGCAAAACACCCAACCCTCCTAACAGTGTTCTATTACCTTCTTCCTGGTGTTCATTTAGAAGCGCGAGTAATTTAAGCGGGGAAGGGACTAAATTAACTTTCCTCAAGTGCTCAGATATGTACTGTGCAATTACACCGCTAACGGTGTTAATATTTTTCTGTGTGCAGGCCTCCCAATTCAACCCCTTCAACCTCGAAATTTCTCGATGGGACGGCTGAGGTCGGGGCCTGCGAAACTGGTTGTGCTTAGTGCTTAGTGCGGGCTCCGGCCCTGCCAGAGTAATTCGTATATTCAAGAATCCGCCGAAAGAAACATTTATATATTACCACCACCGATTCCCTCTGCAGCAAAAACCTACATCAGGTTATTGCAGGGATCAGTTGTTTCCGCTATACCCTACTCCGCCTGTAGCGCCCCCTCTCGGTTCGATGGCTATAGCGAAACTGACAGCACCAACCGAGACTTGCCTCCGTCGCGTGGGCCTGTTATGAGGTATGAACCATCTACGACATAGATGGCGGTATGGGCGCCCTCCGACCCGGCAGACGGCTATATAGAGCAGCATTGGATACATCTCCTGTCTATGGGTATATTTGATGATAGCAAGAAAAGGTTGAGAAGGCGAGGAGACATATAATGGTCAGAACAAATCATTTAGAAAATGTAAAGAGATGGAAGGTCTTGGCGAAAATGATCGATAACTCTCAAAAGTAATATCTTATTCAGACTAATTTCACCGGCTCTTACTGAAGGCACTCAAGATAATTGGAAGTCTAGCTTGGAAGTCGGAAGTTTCTAGCTCGACAGTTTTGAGGAATTGCGTATACCATCTACCTATCGCGCGACGATTATTATTCATGTAATTATTTTCTCTTTTTTAACCCGCGCCCCAGTGGCGGTCTCCGCCAACTTCGCCCTAGTGGGGGGGGGGGGGGGGGGGCATATGTTACCACCCACCTCTAACTCAAAAACTAAGAGGGCTAGAAAGACGCGGTAAAAAGCAGTCGATAGCTCTCAATGCGTACGTACGTTTGAAAGTATTTCAGTCATTTTTCATCTTAGAGCAATATTGGGGTCACCAGAGGTCATCAAAGGTCAAAATTTACCAATGGTCATTATTTTTTTTCTTCAGAAAACATGCCGTTTTCTCAGGAACTATGGTAGCTAGAAAAAACGCATGGAAAAGCGATCGATAGCTCTTGAACTCTTCTTTTGAAAAGGTCATTATCAAAATTGACCTCAGGTCACGGGTTTAGCCTCCAGAGGGCAAAAACTCCAAAAAAGCTGTTTTTACTAGAAGTGTTTTTCGACAATAACTTTCGACAACAAAAAGCCACGACATTTCTATTGCCAGAATCGTGTTTCTCTCGCCGAGACGCGTCGAATGAACTATAATTTGACCTTGAAAGGTCAACTTGAAAAGTTGACCTCAGGTCAAGGTCATGACCTGACCGGAAAAGATCATGTTGCATATCAGTCGATGCGTCTCGACAAGACAAACACAATGAGACCATCCCCTGCGTTTTATCTCTTTCCAATCGCGAGTTATTGGCAAAAATCTGTTTGTAGCCTCAAATGACCTCGGATGACCTTTCTAGAGGCTATCAGCAAAAATGACACCCTGGTCATCACGGTTGGTCCAAATCATTGTGATTCTGAAATATTTGGACTGTTCCTATGCGTACACACGGATCTAGAGGCATTTTCATTTTTCTCCATTGACTTGTAATGGAAAGGTCACGCCACTGACCTGACCTTAGGTCACGGATATAGAAAATCCGAGATATACAAATTGTAGGCACCCGTAACATCATGCAATCCATCAAGTTTAAAACCTTTCTGACAAACACTGCAGGCTGGACATGATTGCAAACTTTTTTTTAGGCTTGGTCAGTTAACTTGACCTGGTGACCTGACCTGACATGACCTGGGGTCAAAATTTCACACATTGTCCAAAATTTATGTACCAAAAGCTACCTTAAGCGGCGCGGCGCTACGCGCCGCGGTTTTTTTATTTACACGCAAAAAAACGCTACAGGGTGGTAACATATGCCCCCCCCCACTGGGGCGAAAGTTAAGAATGATATTGCTTTTAAAATGCATCATAGAATTATATCATTGCAAAGTCTTGAAACATTTCTTTGGCAATTAGCATTTCCGGCTGTCGAGCCATAAGCTTTTGTCTGTTTTGCAGTTGATACTTAAATACTTTAATGCCTGATAGAGCACGGTGTCTATTACGCTATCTGGGTATTATCTGAGGGCATTTAAAGATGACCCAAAGTATGAGCATAGAGTACACATGCATCCAATATAATCCCTTCCATTTAGTATTGTTTTCGGAGATTCTTCAGCGAAACCTGCATTAACCCGCGCCCTGATGGGGGGGCCATTTTGGCCCCCCCCTGTGGTTTTTCTTAAATAGCGAAAAAACGGCGGCGCGCAGCGCCGCCAAATTTTGGGTACCTTACCGCACATCAATTTGACACCTTCACACAAAATTTCAAGTCACAGGTCACCTCAGGTCAGGAGTTATTGAGGTCAAACTGAGGTCATGTTCGAGTAAAAAAGAGCAAAAAACATGACATCTTGAAACGCTCACCAATTCTACAGTTGACAAGCAATTTTAAAGTTCTTTATGTGGTTGTGTAGAGAAAAGACGGCGCTACAAAACTGCTATCTCGGATTTTCCAAAATTTTGGATTTTGACCCCAAAAATCAAAAAAAATATTTTTTTTTAGAAAAACTCAAAACATTTCCAATTTTTTTTTCGAATTTCGAAAAAAACCGGAATATATGTGATAGTCCCTGCGCTCTTCGATATACATACCAAATTTTAGATCGATACCTCTTTTTTTGGCCAAGTTATAGCGAAAAAACTGTTAAAAATTGATGACGTCAAATTTTTGAACTCAATTTTTAGCAATTCTAGACCTCGTAGCGCAAAACGGAGACCGCCATTGAACTCCCCGTGACGAGCTGCATCGAATCGATACCCATTTTATGCAAAAATATCAACTTTGAAAATTGACCTAATTTGACCTGACCTTGACCTGACCTTGACCTGACCTTGACCAAAACGTGACCTAAGCTGGCCCTAAAGTCTGTCTGACCCACATAATCGCATTTGTCATGTAAAATGGACCATAAAACATGTATCACACGACACTTTCATATTGTGACCCCCCAGTGACCTGACCTCTGTGACCTGACCTGGTATCAGTGACCTCAAATAGCAAAATATGTGTTTGAAGAACATTTCCCCATCGATGATTTTCAATGAAATGCATTTTACACGATTTTACAACGCATTTCTTGAAATGCCTGTAAACGGTGAAAATTCGACCTTTGACCTGACCTGTGACGTCATCGGTTTGACCGAGGTCAATGAAATTGGGTCACAAGGTAGTTCCCCGTTGGGGCTATCCAACACCGTTTACCGCTTGTCGCTATGTTGCGTGGTTCTCGAGATCTGAGGGGGGGGGGGGCAAAATGGCCCCCCCCCCCATCAGACCGCGTTGCTCGGCAGACCCCATCTGGGCGCGGGTTAATGAAACATGAGCCCATATTGCAAATGTGTTACTTAATTAAGCAGCTTAGTTATAAACGTTAAGTAGTAATTCTGCATTTAATATTATCGGGAAATCCACAAGTCCTAGCAGTTAGCACGTTCCGGCTGTACAAAATTGACTCTCAGGCGTGAAACATTTCATTGTGTTCTGTCATCAAAGCCCAGAGTTTGGGTAAAGTTGAGACGGGAGCTACGAGACACGATTGAAGTTCAAGTTTCTAAAGATCCTCTTCACAATTGGACGCGCAATCTAGGCCCAAATTTACTTTTAACAAAAGAAGAAAAATCCTACAATATAGTACGCATACGAGCCAGCCTTTTCGCTTTGTCACCGGCTAATGTAAAAGATAAACCTATAATTTCCCAAGGGAGACCTTGCAAGGGTGGATTATTTATATTGAAAGATTGAATATTGAGCAACGACCTAATAACGTCTGTAGAGCTCAATGATTTTTTTTTTAACTCCGTGGATTAACATTCAACAGCCATTTTTCCATCTGATCGGAAACACAACAATTTGTAATTCGTATACATTTGCAGTGTACATAATTTCATGTTTCTTGGACG